CAGTTCCTTAAGATCTGAGTAAACAGCGAGCCTAACAAAAGGGCAGGATGTTGGGTGGATGTGAGCAGAGAGTATGGACAAAAGCAGAGGTGGATAGTTCGGATCCAGAAAATAAAAATCCAAAACAAGATTTTGTTTCAACCCACCGTTTGAGTATAAAGAGTCACAGTCACAGAGTACTCAGTTGGCTGGTTGAAACAAAATCTTGGTCTGGATTTTTACTTTCTGGACCTGAACTATCCACCACTGGATAGAATGTACTACAAAGGATATATTTTGAAGGGGAAACAATGATTGATGATTAAATAAATAGATAACAGAATGAAGGTTCATTATATCACTCCGCAGGAAGCTGTACCGTGGTATGGGGCTCTTTTGGGCCGGGTCTTCCTTCGCCAGCATGTCTGTCTTCATCCCTGGAAGTGTCATTGGTGAGGGTCCATTCTCTGTCCTGTAGCTTCAAAGAAGGGAACATTTCATGTGTTAGAATTGTGCTTCTGGAGCAACATGGCTGACATTTGTGCAGCAGGACTCAGAAGGGGCGCGTGCTGTTACTCTGACAGTTCACGCAATGATTACTCGCAGTTACTCTCCAGGCGGGGTTATTTTGTATTGCTGGTTATCATTATGCAACAATGAGAATACGCTCCTTCATAGTATTTTCTGTAATCTCGTCATGATTCAATAGGATGAAACGTACTATGAGGTCCACAGGGCTGGTTTTCTCCAAATGGGTAATTTGCCAATTGTCACACCCTCAGGCAAATACGGCTCAAATATATATCCAGCCTTCTGGCTGAACGTGCTGCTCCTGCTGGGGTCCGTGTGGGTGGCAGCCTCGCTGCTGTCCAGCCTAAGAGAGCTGCCGGTGGTTCCCGCTGATGAGGTGAGGGTACCATGCGGACCAACAACAGGGGTGGGACTTTGGGGGCATGGATGCAGTGGGTGGGCAGAGCGTGGGGCATGACTCCTCCAGCACAAAGGCTGTATTTAGGCTTGTTGGCTTTCCGTCAGCGGCACTGTGCATGACACTTGGCGACTTTTGCTAAAATTCCTATCGCCTGTCTTCCAGGTCGAGTCTGTACAGAGAAAAACCCTCCTGACCCGGCCCACCGACCTGCTCCTGATGACCTTCCTCTTGGGCGCGATGGTTTTCACGGTGTTCCGTGGCCTTGTGAGTGCCACTTCTTGCAGTGCTTTTTATTCGATTCGGGTGTCGCCCACATTAACCCAGACAGCTCAGCATAAAGGGGAAGTCTGTAAAAATCAATTGTTTCATAAACTATACCTCAGGTTCCTCATGTTTAGTATATTCGCTTTGGCACAATGTCACACAGGGCTGATGAAAAAGAGGTACTGTGATGTCTGAAGATGTTTTAAGAGCAGCTGTCATTTTTGTGACCACCTGCCAGAAAATGTGCCTTGTCGCTCTATATCTCTCTTTCTCTGTGTCTCTCACTCAGGTAGTTCTTGATTGTCCCCTGGATTCCTGTTTTAACTACATCTACCAATATGAACCATACCTGAAGGACCCAGTCGGCTATCCTAGGGTCATGGTGAGTGAGATGAATTAGCCTTTCATTACAGAAGAATATAGACCATTGGAGAGCTTAGAAACATATCTGGAACACCGTTTTCTTTTTTAAGAAGGCATAGCAGTAAAGGTGTTTGTCTGGAGAGAGCATGACGATGGCAGGTCCACTTGCTTGTCACTCTCCGGTAGGCTCTGTCAGCTGAGCCATCACGCTGTCGGTGATCTTATCATGACTTGTTTTCTGACAAAAGAGAAAGCAGTTGGTCATCTGCAATGCAACCGGAGTTTGATAAGGTAATCAGCTCGACCATGTGCATTCTATCAGGGGCCAAACAGTGTGAGAGTAGACTCCGAATTACCTCCATTGACTAAAATTTCCAAATACCGATGATGACAGAGCACTGCAAACAAGACAAGAAGAAATGGCTGTTTGCACAGCAGCTGTGGCAACTTCACAGAGCATGCTTCGATGCTGCACCATGTCTCCTATGATCTACACCATGTCTCCTATGCTCTACACGATGTCTCCTATGCTCTACACCATGTCTCCTATACTCTACACTACTGTATGTCTTCTATGCTCTCCACTATGTCTTCTATGCTCTACAGCATGTCTCCTATGCTCTACACCATGTCTTCTATGCTCTACACCATGTCTCCTATGCCCTACACCATGTCTCCTATACGCTACACTATGTCTTCTATGCTCTACACCATGTCTCCTATGCTCTACACCATGTCTCCTATGCTCTACACTATGTCTCCTATACTCTACACTATGTCTTCTATGCTCTACACCATGTCTCCTATGCTCTACACTATGTCTCCTATGCTCTACACCATGTCTTCTATGCTCTACATGTTTCCCAAACCAGTCCTCAGGGACCTGCAGACAGTCCACATTTTTCACCAGGACCTGGGAGGGAGCAAAAATGTGGACCATCTATGAGTCCTCAAAGCCTACAGTAGGTTGGGAAACGCTGCTCTATACCCAGATAGTGTACTATTAGTGTAGGTAATCTGTGTCGGCCAGCTAACTCCATAGTTAACATAAAGGTGAGGAAAATTGACGGACTCTGAGCAGTATGCTGTGTAATATTGTAATACTAAGAGATATTCCGCTTTCTGCAGATGCTGGTCTACCTATTCTATGGCCTACCACTGATGGCTGCATTTGTCTATGGGCTTGTAACACCTGGTTGCACTTGGATGCTGGACTGGACGGTGCTATTCGCTGGGTTCATGGCTCAGGTAACATGACTCTACCTGCATGCCTATAACTTCCTGTAAATGCATTCGTGAGCTCTCCGCCCCGCAGTGGTGACAAGGAACGCAACGTTCTCGTGTACTGTGAGCTTCATAAGCAGAAACCAAAAAGATGTTTCATCCATTTTGTAAGAAATCCTGTGTTTCGGTCATTTTCAAGGTCATTTACATGATTGCTATTATTAGTGTAGTGAGCTACCGATTCTCCAACTATTTAGCAATTTGTCACGCTTTTTTTCGTTAAGGTTTCATAAACCCCACCTGACAAGTTTGATCGTGGCATCCCACAATTCTTCAGAGGGCTGAGCCCCCTATTGGTCAAGTCCTAGAATTGCCCCCAGAACTACCAAAATAGTACAGAGGATAGAACTGAAGGTTTTAAATCAATGTCCAAAAGACATTTTAAGGTCTCTTTTCAATACCACTGGTTTTTATTTTATAAATAACAGTAATACACTGACATGTCCTGATTTACATCTGTGCTGTATGTGAAATATCATGAAAAGTCTCCCGTTGCCCTTTTATTTGCTTGTATAAAACATGCATCTAACAACATCAGTCATGTTCTTCATCTTTCTGTTGCTTTGTTGGTACCTTTAAGTAATCATGAGGCACGGTGTTGTTTGACCACTGCACCACTGCACCTCTAACCCCGCCTCCGCCCCCAGGCGCAGTGGTGCCACATCAGTGCGTCGCTACACCCGCGCACCCCCTACACCTACAGAATCCCAGAGGAGAAGTGGCAGGCCGTGCTGCTGGCCAACCTGGGGTATGTGACGGCGCCGCTCCTGTTGGGCCTCCGCTGCATCTGGAGCCCCGCCTTCTTCATGAAGACCGTCCCTCCAGGACAGGTCACCAAAGAGAAGAAGAGTGACTGACAAAACAAGCCCCCCCCTCCACACACACAAAACAAATACACCAGCCTTATAAAAGAAACCATATACTCCAAAAAAATAACCAAAAATTAACAGGTTACTGTGAGAGATTATTTATTACATTATGATACCCTGGTGGAAATGCATCACTGAAACCAAACCCCTGTTCCTCACCACAGTAAACTGGTTCCTACCAACTAATGTCGACATTACTGAAAATTTCTCCTCTCTGCTTGGACCATTGGACTTTTAACAGCACATAAGCAATAACTTCCTTTTATCTTAGAAACTAATGACTCATGGGTTTGTCACACCTGAATATATATAAATCCACATTATGCCCCCTCAACCAGGTTGATTTCGACTCTGACGCTTAAATTGTGGCACAGTTCCCCCACAGTACAGCATTTGTACTGCAGATTGTTCTAGAGTACTGGTTTCTGCACCTAACCCGAGAAGAAGTGGTTTCCAGTTTGCCAGTATGCGGTGAGTGGTGAAAGCGCAGCATTCCCAGTGTCCACCAGACCACCAGGGATAATTTTCCAATTAAAAATACCTGCAGGATTCCAGGATAACCAGGTTGATAATATCACTCAGGCAAGTGAAGCTAGACTGTTCCAAAATGTAATTGATACAGACGTCAGAAGAGAACAGAATATAAGATGGACTTGATTCAAGCCATTGAATCACTGAGCACACCTTTGCCCTATTGTGAGCTCATGTACCTTGTGGACTGGATTGTGAAAGGTGATGTGTGTTAGTCTACCTCTGAGGAAACAAAGTCAGAGGTCCATCAGATATCACTGAATGACAAAGGATCATCATTGTGTAGTTTAATGGATCATGCCACAGTGTGTATCTATCTACTATGTACTGCTGCACTTTGCCCTCTTTGCCTTGTCTTGTAGATACAAGAAAATCACTTTTATAAACACTTTCCAGCTCACTGTTCTGTTGCAGATGCAATAACAAGGAAAATGTAACATTTTCCTAACTCTTCTATTGCCATTCCCATGTTTTTTCCATCCGGATCATGAGTATAAAATCAGGTGTAGAAAGAAAGTGGCCCATTGCGATTTTATTGCCATTTTTTCTACCATGTGTATGATCTTAATTTCATGATTACAAAATGCTCAACGTTTCTGAAAATGTTTACTGGATGTAGATAAACTTCCGAGGTTTGGGAAGACCACTGAATTTCAAATGCTCCCTAAAAACAACAAAAACTATGACATCCCAGGTTCAACAAATTCAGGGTCCAGCATGGTTAAGTTTGTAGTCTATCTTGGCTGAATGTTGCAAAAGGCGTGCTATTTGTAACACTTTAAAAACCACTGGAATATGCTTGTATTGAAAATATTAAATCCTCGTTCTGTTGTAGACAGCCAAAAAAAAAAAAAAAACGTAATTCACTGTCTTTTCACTGGGAGGTGCTAAGCGTCTTCTGTCTTCCCTGTTCACCTGACTGGATGGAAAATGGAACTTTATTCCATTTTGTGTTCGTACTGTTGTTATTGTCTGTGCATGTTCATTATGGTGAATGCAATTGTAAATACATTACTTGGGCAGCTTGTCATTCATATAAATTAATAGCCTATTGCCTACTATTCAGCTGATGGGTCATGTTTATATTAATTTGCTTTATGATATCCATTATAAAATAATGAATACAATAAAAATATTTGTAATACACGACTGTCGTTTTTTCTTCTAATCTGGCGAAAGCACGGTGAAATTGTTTACATATTGCAAAACCTGTTGAAGACAACACAACTTGAGCTGATAAATGAATTTCGTACAATGTGTCCGATATTCCTGAGCTTCCACTGAGGGGATTTGAATGAATATAACAGCTCAGTATTCTATTACCAAATTATGATTCGTTTGCAACAGGTCTGGTCTTGAAACAATAAGACGCATACAATGAGGTATATACATTTTTATTATTTTTTTCGGGAACAGAAAACCAAAACCTTGGAGAATGCGGGCATCGATCCCGCTACCTCTCGCATGCTAAGCGAGCGCTCTACCATTTGAGCTAATTCCCCTGCGTTACAAACCGCACAGGAACAGTATTGTTGACGTTAGGTGAGTTCCTATCGTCATATAGTCAATTTGAAAAGGGAAATTGAGGGTGATCTGTCTATAAAGTTAGGTATACATCGTAATTGCAAGGACGTGCGGTATGACCAAGGTCTGGGTAAAATGAATTATTGTCAAGGCAGGGTAATGTTGAATTCTGTGTTTGCCATAATGTTAATGTGACTCTTTTCCGAAAAATAAATAAATAAATAATATATATGACGATTCAGTCATTAAAAACTATTAATAGTGACTAAGTGAGAGTGCAAACGTTGATTAAAATTTTCTGATTAGAAATACATTTTAAAAACTAAACTAATTATTATCATGATTTTAATTTAATTACAAACATATTTCACTGCCTTGTTTGGTTGGGGACATGAAAAATATGAGTAACTATGCGTATTTGATTTAGCCTATACAATTACTGCTCAATGAAAGTTACGGCGGCAGAACTACACTGGAGAGGAATGAAGGATTGTGTATCAAGTCCATCATAAATGCATCATGAATGTGCAGCAATATATTGTATAAAGATCTTTGCTTTTGCAGTTTGACACTGCTGTTTAGCAAGAAAAAGATCCCTGTTTGCAAACAAATAGGAGTTTTAATGAAGGCAGAAAGCTAAAGTTATGAGTTTTATGTACATAAGATGGAACTGATTCCAGGTAGACTTATGATTGTATATGTGTGCAGAAATTCCACGATGCACGATAACAGAGTAGAATGATTATTATATTAAGTGGTGTTAGGAGCGAGAGAAGAGTGAAACGGCATGGTTTGCTAAGTCGACGCCCCCTCAGAACATGGCGCCCTAGGCAGCCGCCTATGTCCCCTAATAATTCGACCGACGCTGGTAGGAATTTATTCATTTTTCAGACATGCCGTTTTCATCTCTTATGCAGGCCCGGCTCGCTCTACAAGCGACCGTCTAGGGCGCCATTTGATTTGGGGGCGCAAAAGACCGAGTGAAAAAAAAAATCAGATGAAATACCCATCCTTACATTCCGTGACATGAATTACTTGCAGTTGAAATAGTGACATCTATTCACAGCATAACCACTCGCAGCAACCTTTAAATTAAACGTCAGAATAATGCCTCGTCTCTCGGTCACTGAGGGGTCGATTCTCCAAGGCGGTTTACGTGAAAAGAGCGCGTACAGTACCTGCTGAAATCGCCCCTAACAGTTTCGCGTATTCTCGGTGTCGCCCATGCGTGTAACCCAAAAAAGAAATGTCGATTTCTTACCTATTAAGTATATCGTTAATCCAATGATGGGGAACATCCAGCCTGTGGGCCCATGGAGACAGTTTTAACCGACCCACGAGGCATTTCATAAATACAAAACGCAACTGAAAAATACCAAAATATAAAAAAAACCCTAGAAAGCAATTCCTTTTGTCATACAATAAAAATAACATGACACTACAGCTGTGTATCGGCACGAATATGGCCATAAGATATGTGCCATGATACAAGAGTTACGATTCGATATTGCGATACTGCAGTAAGCAAGTAACATGTAAGCAAGGTGACACATTGTTTGTTTAATCTAATTTTTAAGAAAACTGTCATACAGTATAATTAAGAACACAACACCACATGTATGTTTACTTTTTATGCTATCAGAACAGTGGGATCCACATTTGCATTTATAACAGTCTCTGTAAAATTAAATATAACAACACTATTTTATGTGCAATTGGAACAAAGAAATTAACATTCGCCTATATCAGTAAAACAATCAAATAAAGGTGCTTGGAAAAATGAGTCAACACTTCAACTATGTACGCCAGGAAGCCATTGATAACATATGTCATTTTTTGATAATAACTTTATTAAGCTATAAATGTACAGCACATAGCAGGGCGCAGAAACAATTAGCAACTGTACTAAATCATCATAGGTCCATAAAGGCACAAATGGCAGAGACAACAAATAAACTACCTTTCACTTTAGACCGCCATGGCGGCCGCCATTTTTAAGAAGCCTAATTAAATCCCAACCGCGCTTCGTCCGAACAGAAAATACCGGATAGCGTTTGGCCGAAGCAGAATCCACAAGTTTATCCTAAACTTTAGCCAAGTCCGGGACCAGTTTAGTAACTTTTGGTACTGACCGATCTAGACTGTGACATATATTTCACGTGAAGTCGCAGGTTTTCGTCAATTTGACTGGTTTAACATAGCTGTTTAGTTATTAAACCAGCTTTTTGGGTTACCCATCGGGGTTTAAACATTATCCATGTCGATTAAAAGAGATATTCCGACGTAAACGTCTTCATTTTAAACAATGCTATGATAGTTTGAGGCCCAAAGTAAAAAGTTAGTTGAGAAATACAGCGGATTAGTATGGCCTGATATTTGTGCCACTAGAAACTGAATATGAATTTTGTATATTTGAATCTTCAGTTATCCGCATTACAAAACTGAATCTGAATTTAATAGTTTGAATTTGAATTCCAGTAACTCGAAATAGCATTTATCCTACCTCGAAAAATTCAGTTCGCAAATTCAATTTCAATCTAGTGTGACACACATCCGGGTCCTTGAGAAAAAGTAATCGACCGCAGATTCAAAATGCAACTCATTTCCACGTTACGACAGTTCTGCAGGTCGGAGTAAAAAGGAGGCGTGTGCCGGGATGT